TAGATTGAACTATTGGGCTTCGGGGATGAAAGACCTAATAGGCAAATCCCCGATTTCTAAAGGCCATGGCCATCTCACTATGAGATTGTTATCTCAGGCAAGCCCTGATAAATTAAAAAGGGGAAAACGAGCCCAATGGGCAGATTCCGAACTACAAGTCTACGGCCAATAACACAGCTCGGAGACGTCCAAACCCCGTAACAAAAATAGGCCTTCAAAAAAGAAAAACTTTTCTGTCACAACCGATTCTAAAAGGCTACCCTCGACAGAATCTTAAACTTGAGATATTTTCAGGAGAAAACTTCGGTAACTTCGAACCCCGATAACGCCTTGACCTAGAAAGGCAATAAAGGCAAGGTCTTTTTCGAACCCTCGAACACGACCTTATTATTTCATGTTAAGGCAATCCAACCATTGTAAATGCGAATGATAAAGCGAAGGAAAAAATTTGAGAGCCGAAAAGGGTATAAAGCCTTATATATATGTACATAAACGATCTTTTTACAAAGGCCAAATCGGCCAAATACAAAATTTACAACGGCCAAAATGGCCCAAAAAAATACACAAAAGAAAGGAAAAATACAAAGGTCTAAGGGCTACTTTTATTTCGAGTTCGAGAGGTCATTCTCACTCGACTAGAAAGCCTAAGGGCTACCTTATTTCGAGTTCAAGCATTCCCTCACTCGATCATTAAGCTTAAGGGCTACCTCATCTCAAGTTTGAATGATCGTTCGGGGTCCATCGATTATAGACGGTCGAGGGCAGTGCTTACAACCGGTCCTTACCATCACAATACAACTTCATAATTTTATGCTAAGGTGCTTTGAAACTTACATAAATTAACAAAAAGACAACAGATTCAGAAGCCATGGAAGGGAAAAAGTTTTATATATTCATCAAAATCTTTTTACAAGGGCAACACGGGCCTCGACAGAAATACAAAAACTATTTAAATGCCTAAGTGGCCTGGTCATCTCCATCTCCGGGAGTGGGATCTCCGCCCGAGGGGTCTTCTGGACTTTCGGATTTGCAAAAGCTTTCAGATTCGTCATCATAATCAGGATAAGCTAATTTCCCAGCCTCAGCTTCAAGCTTCTTAGCATTCTCGATCTCGGTTGAAAGATCAAAGCCCCGAGTATGGATCTCCTCAAGAGTCTCCCTCTGAGACTGGCATTTGGCGTGCTTGGCGACCCAATTCGCTCGAACCTGAGCAGCCTCGGTGACCTCCTTTGCTCTGACCTGAACGGCTTCAGTATCGTCCTAGTAAATAGCCACCACTGCATCAGCATTGTCCTTGGTCGCTTTTACCTCTAATTTGGCCGCTTCGAGCTCTGTGACCAGCTTCTCCCGATCGAAAATTGCTGAACCCAACTGAGACTGGAGCTCCTCAATTTTCTTGGCTTGCACCTAGATTTTTTCTTTCATGCTTCGGAGTTTGATTTTAGCCGAGGCTAGTTGGGCCTGGGCAGTCTCCTTTTTTGAGGCAAGGCTATCCATATTCTTTTTTCATTCTTTGGCCTCAGTTTTCACATCGTCTACTTCTTCACGGAGTTGCCCGATCACATCGAGCTTTTGTTGGACCTGCGGGTTTGAATCATTAGCCACCATGCCGAGTCACCGTCACTAACTTCAAAGATTCTTCTTACCTGCTCGGCGAGTTCGGCGTGTTCTTTTTGAGCCATTTCTAGCTCAGCACGGAGGCCTTTAGCTTCCCCTTCTCTTTGCTAACTGAGAAGCTTGAAGGCATCCTTTTCCTCAGTAAGCCCTCGGATCTCGACCTCATTCCGACTCAGCTCCCTTAGGGATCGGAGGAAAGCCTCATGATGAAGTACTGAAGCCTACAAACATAGAAAATGGAGTTATATACAGAGAGAAAAGTCTTACAAAAATTAACAAGGAAATCTGGGATTACCCAGTTTAGAGCCTGTTGGGCTTCGTTGAAAGGACAGGCTGTTTCCACCGCATCAATCTTAGCTTGGTCTTCTTCGGTGACCAAGCATCGGAGAAAGCTAGCCACCTCTACGGGGGCAGAAAGAACCCGAGCATCCTCCGAGACTAAAATGATAATTGATCGCTTACGCCTGGGATCGACACTGGGGGCCAGAAACTGATTGGTCAGTTTAAAGCTCGAGGAAGCCTCACTCGAGCTCTTCCTCGGTACCTCCAAGTCACGCAGACCGGTGACATCTTCCACTCCAACAAAATAACCACGGAAAAGGTCTTCTGCTCTATGGACCCCTTCCCCCTAGCAAGCCTCCACCACCTGAGCTTCATGTATCAAAGACTCAGTGAATGAAGGAAACAAGGGGGAATCTCCGATATCTATCACCCCAAGTGAATCTTTGGGGGCACCGCCTTCATCTCGAGAGGCCTCGAGCATGGTTTCTACACCAGCATCAACCGTTTCCTCGGTAGCCTTCTCACCTCCAGGTGAAGCGTCCTCAGCTCTTTTTGGCTCGGGGACTTTGGCCGAGGTTTTCCCCTTAATCTCATCAAGTCGAGGCAGAGCAGTTTTAGCTCCCGCCGGATCAGTAGTTTCTTGAATCTCGATGCCAACTCGTACACGGGCCACCAGCCCGGAGTCTTCTTCTTCTTCAGCCTCTTCCCTTAGTCATTGAACTGACTCCAAAGCTAAAGGGATGATGTTCCCCTTAATTGTACGGGCTGTTTTCTTTTTGGGTTTCTGCCCTTAGAGTTTGTGGAATTCGAAGCTCTTTTCCTCTCCTTCTCCCTCACCGTCTTCGAGGCAGATGGTGGGGGGAGGATTTATTCATCACTAGATGGGGGCCTTAGTGCCACGTCTTTCCCGAGAGCTACAAAAAATGATGAGTAAGCTCGGGAAGAAATTCGTACAATGATCAACTCATTGAGTCAGAGAGGAAACTTTACCATGGCTACGGGCCTCCCATCGACAAATCGCGCCATGTGCGCTCAGCATGCGTCGACTGAGATACTAGGCTCCTGACCCAATCTTCGATTTGGGGAACCGCATCCGGCATCCAAGCAACGGCTGCATCAAGTAAAACACTGATAAGAAAGGGTGAAAAATGAAGACAATAAACAGAAATTAAGGACGGAACTATACTTATGATTCATATTTCATTTCTCAGGAAATGGCATACTCCGGGATCAAGTCCGAGGTCTTCACTCGAACAAATCGGCCCATCCAACCCCGGTCTTTGTCCTTATCTATACTCGAGAAAGGTTCCCGCTCCGAAGTTGAAGCTTTATTAGCCCTTCTCGATAGAGTTGGGGGCTATACAAGCGTATGAGGTGGTCGAGGGTGAAGGGAAGCCCATCGATTCTGCTTACGAAGAAGCGAAGTAATATCACTATCCTCCAGAAAGAGGGGTGAATCTGACCGAGGGTCACCTCGTACTTCTTGCAGAAATCTATGATAATCAGATCCAAGGGACCCAACGTGAAGGAGTAAGTGTAAACACTAAAGAATCCCTCCACGTGGGTGGTGATGATTCTTTTGGAGCAGGAACCACCACATGTTTTTCACCCGAGTTGCAATCTTTTTTAACTTGGGAGAGGAGTTTATCGGTTATCAAACATATATAGCTCGATACCGGCTCGCATCCACCCGGCACCGAGGAAGTCTTTTCAACCTTGGAATCAAAATCGATGACACACCCTCCGAGAAAAAACTCTTTAGGGTGTGGCTCCGCCGCAGGTTCCTCACCGGCCGGCCGTGACGATGAAGCAGTCTCCTTTAGTGGAATGGTTTTTGAAGTCTTAGCCATTTTACTTCTATGAATGAAGAAGAATGGGAACTGAGGAGGAGTGCAAGGTATTTGTGATGAAACAAGCGAAGAAACACCAAGATCTGAAAGAACAAAGCTCTAAGGGAAGAGAAGGATTAGAAGATAAAGAATGAAGAAGATTTGAAAATAAAGTTTAGGCAAAAGAAGAAAGGTTCCTTTATAGCTTTAAGATGACGATTCAAATCCGGTAGTGGTCGATCGTTGACTGACACGCATTAAATTCCTAGGAAACTGTACCGACGAGACGCATTGGTTACCTTTGCTGCTTACGTCGTGATGCTTACATCATGGTGTATTGAGGTGAAGATCGAGGGCTCAAATCGTTTCTTGTCATTACTCTCCAAAAAACAAGGGGACTATCTGTACACGGTCAAAATCGGGTTTGCCCTTTTTGTATGATTAATCGAGACCGGGGGCGTGACAGGCCATGGTGTATCGAGGTGAAGATCGAGGGCTCAAATCATTTCTTGTCATTACTCTCCAAAAAATGAGGGGACTATCTGTATACGGTCAAAATCGGACTTGCCCTTTTTGTATGATTAATCGAGACCGAGGGCGTGACAGGCCAAGGTTTGACCCATGTCATACCGGACCGTGACACGAAGTTAGATTGCCAAGCTCGTGACTCAGGGACCGATCGGGATAGAGATCGAGCAAGATCGAGGGAAGCCTGCCGATCCAAATAACGGAAAGCCATAATATCCGCGATCGGGCGAGGATCACGGAAGAAATCTCGGCACGTATCAAGAAGAGGCCGATTAATCAGCTAATCATGGGATTTCTTACTGCATTTATGATTGTATTAAGAGTAGGACACCCCTACTATATAAAGGGGGTCTGATCTTTTGTAAAACACATGATATTCACGCTACATAAAACAATATACTATATTTTTCTTAAGCTCTCAATACTCTGTTATTCTGTTCATACTTTCCAGTGAAATACTTGTTTGATTCGAAGGCAACCTAGCTCGAGGATCGAAGCTAGACATTTCTTTTGGTTTGTTTTATTTCTGTTTGCGGTTGATTTCAGTATCAATTTGCACTTTTTCTTAGTTTGTGCCAAGTAAAATCACATGTATTTAAAACCACAATATAAATTCAATTGTTATTCGTTTTTAGGGTAAACATAGTAATTAAACAAGACGTGATTAATCATGTATTTAAGGACTTGATTCAACCATCTCATACTTGGTGTTATTACTTCCATGAATACATAAGAAAGTTTGCAAGAATTAACTTTAGCATATGGATATGAACTAGTAATGTAGAAAGTGATCACTATGGCCAAAAGACACCTTTATTATTACATCAACAACAAAATTGGAGATAAGGAAACAAACATTGCATATATTAGAAAGAAAAAAAACTCAATAGCTAGGTATATCACTGCCCAAAAATGACATCTTGACCTAGACTTTTCAGCTAGCAAAAGAATTAGTATTTCTATACCCAAATTGCATTAGCCCTAATGAGCAATTGCTTGAGTTTGCCTCTAATGTTGAGACTCATGATTTCATTAGAACCACCAACCAATTCATTTCCAATGAACACAGCAGGAAAACTTGGTTGACACCCTAATTCAATCAATGCCCTTTCCAATTCCCTCCCATTCTGAAGTCTATCAAGCTCATAAATTGTAGGATTTGCTCCGAAATTTCGGATTAACGTTTCAATAGTGTGAGATATGCAACAAGTACTTCTGCTAAAAATAACTACAGGACTTTGTGCTCCCAACTTCATCACCATATCCATAATGTTTAAGTCTTTGGTGAGGATTTGTATTGGAAAAAAGTATTTGTGAAGGGTATTAGAAAAGAAAAAGCTTTGTGTATTGAGTTTCTTGATTTGATATGGCAACCTGAATTGGAGTGAGCTATATATAAGGCTTAATTAAAGTGGTTAGATATAAAAGGATGACAATTTTCCCAAAAGGGCAAGTGGGTGAATAATATCCAAGGTATTAAATTATTTTCGATCACTTGTATGATAAATGCAGCGCATCACATTCTACAATCTTGATAATGAAAAGTGAATATAACTACCTTTTAAATATTCCCCAAACGATCTTGAGCACTTTATTTATGTGATTAACCTGGAAGAAATGAATAAGGTTCATGTATTCCCAAAAAAGAAAACGAAAATAGCTCGATGCATAAGGTATTCCGCGTTCACGTAGAGTTTAGGGAAGGACCGTACTTTACGGGGTTTGATGTAGACAGCCTACCCTAATGCAAGCATTAGTGGCTATTTCCACGACTGAAACCTGTGACCTATAGGTCATGCGGAGACAACTTTCCTGTTATTCCAAGGCTGCCCTTCATATTTCCTGTATTCCAACATCTTTTTCCTTTTGTGTGTTTCCAAGGCTGCCCTTCAAATTATATTGTAAGGTTCATGTATTCTAACAAGTTACAATAAAATGTCCTCTCGAAAACATGTAAAAGGAAAAAGAAAGTTGTCCAGCTAAAGGTAGGAGAATTTTACTTTTGATTTGAGAAAAATTGAAATCTTTTTCCAGAATGTATCCTTATAGAAGTACTATTGAAATCAAATCTATATTACTATCCGTACCGAAAAGGAGGAGGTACTAATAATTTAACAGAGAAATTTGCAGGCTTCTCCTTGTTTGGTTGATACATGACTAACTTGGTTCAAATCCCTTTTTTCGAATAAAGTTTGATCAAGAAAGGGAATGTAGTAATGTGTCATATTTATCATCTTATCCAGTAAAAGTAAAGGAAAGAAAAAAACAAAGCTCCCTTTACTACCTCGAAAGGTCACATATCATCTTAGTGTTCTATTTTTCCTGTCAAATTATTGTTTTTTCTGTTTCATTTTATGTGAAGGTGTTTGACTGGACATAAAATTCGAAAAATAATGAAAGAAGTTTTTGGACTTGGGGTTTTAAACATAGAATGGCTTTTAGGTGACTATTAACTCATGTCATTAAAGAGTCATTTGGTTGTAAAACGAGATATCCAGGGATTAATTGACAGTCCTAGGATTATAATTTAGCGGTTGTTTATCCCACATCCAATATGGAATAGTTAATATCTCCATTTCTGTATAAAACTGGATTCCAATGTATATTAACTAACTAGTTTTCGAAAACATGCGTTGCACGTATATCTCATACTGATTAATACAAACGTTTTAAAGGTAATAAAATAAGTGTGTGATAGAAGTCCAAAGAAAAAAATACAAGTTCAAGTTGATGAATGTGAACCTATTCAAATCATAATGAAAAATTGCTTTTGAAAAGTAATGTTCGATTTCAATTATATATGCAATTCTTTTATCAAGTACTCAACGTGACAGTAATTCTTCTTTTTATACATCAACAACACATAATTTAGATGTAAATTTGAGCAACATTGGCTATGTTTGCAAATGTTTAACGTCTTAAAGTTTTGCCTTCTTTTTAAGAGACTGTAACCTCCTCTTTTATATACCTTCATACATAACAAAAAGTTTTTGTCGAATGAAAGTAGTGTTTTTAGAAGTTGTACAGAAATTCGATCAATATATATCTTCTTTAGAATGGCTAGTAGATCATTGTCGATATTATGATGTACACCTATACACAGAAGTAGAGTTAATATTTTGTATAAAGATAATAGTTTAAAAATTATGAGTCCTTTCATTTGTGACTTTGACAAAAAAATATTAAATAAATTACATAAATATAACTGTATTATAAAATATGGCACAATCATGTGCGAAATATTGATAGTTTGATGTTTTAGTACTTCATGAAAATTTAACAATTTATTAAGACCAGAAAAAATAATATCTTATAGTTTTCAAATTTAATTTTTAATAATTAGAAAAGAGCTTGACAAATAAATTAAAAGGAGAATAATAATATTACAAACATGCGAGCGACGAGGAATATGAAAAATTACAAGCTCTACTTAAAAAAGAATAATAAAGACATGAAATACTAATAGAATCAATGACAACTAACCAGAGGGAATAAGGAAGAGCAAAATGCTGTAAGGGTCTAACCTCTTGCGAAATCTCTTGCTGCTTATATTTTTTGGTATGTTGTTCAAAGAAAAAAGCTACATGATGCCCTCGTTTTGCAACTGATACAGTGGTTAGATAATTTGATCTGCACTTTTATAGTGTGAATTAAAGAATGTAAAAAGACTGCAAAAATTTTCTATTATCATAGAAGATCAAAGAAAGAAAACTGAAATGTGCTGAGCATTACATCTACCGTGGAAGATGGAAAAAACAAAACTGAAAAATATTTCTAGCATGGTATTATTTTTAATAAAAGGTACCGTTTGATAAGATCTCAATTAAATGTCAAACTTCATTTTTTAAATTCAATTCACAGCAGGTGAAAGTGCTTTGGTCGTGCTAAAAAATGCTTCTCAATTCACATGTTCAACAGTTATACCCTACCATTTAATAGTATCAAATTAAATTGGCCAATTTCAATTTACATTTTTTCCGTTCACGACACATAACAGCTACAATTTTACCATTTAATAGGATCCTAATTAAGTGTTCAGCTTCATTTTTCAATTCACACATTTACACTTTAATTGCATCTATATTTTACCATTTAATAGGATCCCAATTAACTGACCAATTTCATTTTTCAATTCACAAGTTCACATAGCAGTATTTCAAGTAAATGAAAATAGTATTATTTTAAGGTAGAGGGTTATTTGGTCATTTAGTTTTTGAAGGAGATTTTAGTAAAATAACTTTCACTAAAAGTCTTCACACTTATAATATAGTATGATAATTAATATCCATAACAAAATATGAGACGAATACAATCTCAAATTCTATTCCGTGATTATAATCTTAATCTCAGCAGATTATAACCAAACTGACCCTTAAGGGTATAACAGAACATTTAAAGTTATATTATTTTACATATAAAAAAAATCATTGTTCTTTTTGAGAGACTGAAAAGGAAAGTGTGTTATATAAAATAGAATAGAGGGAGTAGAACGTAATGACTAATTGAGGGAATTAGCTGTTAAAACATTTCGAAACGACAATATAAATATGTCTTTTTGCAGTTTGATTACGGCGTATTTGACGAGGATAAATGTCACGACCCAAAATTTCTCCGAAGGAGTCGTGATGACACCTAGTCTCTAAACTAGGTAAGCCTAGCATTAACAGAAATAACATTGATATTCACTAACTTCAAAATTAAATAGCTCTGAACAATTACAATTCTCAAAACCGGTAGTATAAGTCATAAGCCTTTCTAGGAGTAGTTATACATAATAAATACATCACTATTCCAGAAAAAAAGGAACAAATGGAAATAAGTGCAAATGGAGGTGACTCCGAGGCCTGCGAACGCAGCAGCAGGTTTACCTTGAGTCTCCACCGCGACGATCCGCGCAGCTACTATCGATCAAATACCTGGATCTGTACAAAAATGTACAGAAGTGTAGTATGAGCACATCACGGCGGTGCCCGGTAAGTATCAAGACTAACCTCGGTGGAGTAGTGACGAGGAACAGTCAAGACACCTACTAGTCAAATCAATTGAACAGGATATGAAAATAAACTATCAAGATAAAGATAACGTAGTAATATCAAATGCAAGAAGAAGTCAAACTACAACAGTAGAGACAATAAAGGAAAAACATGGATGGAAACGAAAGTTAACCAAGTAAATTAACACCAACATAGCTGGGACAGAGACAAGTAAAAATATGCTCAAATAAGAATACTGGTGTTAACTCAATCAATCACATCATTCCTTTTACACAAACTCCGACCATCTCAAACCTCGAAGTCTCATATCATAATCAAAACTCCCAAATTTTTAACAAACTTGGCACCATGTGCCTACATATTTCCATCTCTCTTTGCACAGCAAAATCCACGTGCCACCAGTACATAATGTCCGTAACCAATGCAATTAAGGTGTTCAAGGGTCTCATTTATATAACGTGAAATAAATTACAATATCTAATCTAATTAGGAAATCAGCGAGAAAAGATGAAGTTATTTTTAGAAATTATTTGAATGAAGAAACTGCACTTTTCAAATAAAATGCAACATTGAATAAATTATTGCCTTTAATATAGGATTTATTAAATTAAAACTTAATGAAAATTCCCTTTTAAGTAAAATTTGATCTCAATGGCTAAGGAAATTTAGTTGAGAAACTAGTTGAAATAAAACATAACATTTATAGGAATTTGAATTATTGAAAGGTGTATATATACACACGAGTTCAAATCTAAAAGTCATATATAGCAGCGTAATACTAATTCCTTTATTTTAAATCACGATATTACTAATAACTTAACAGGACAGGAGGAAATGGCACAACGTAGTAAGTTTACTTTAAAACTTAATTCACCAAAGTAATAGTTTCAGGGAAAGAATTCAAGGAACAACGGCAAGTCAACAACTTAATGTCAATAACCCGTTCTCACAACTCAGTGAAACCCGAAATACAAATTATCAAAGTCTTAAACAAATGAACTAGAGTCTTCTCAGTATTCAGCTATAACCAAATCCCTAAATGAGAGGTAAAACTATCGAATAATTTACACAGTCAGAGAGGAGTATATAAGCACATATATTGATGTGGCGCGCATCCCGATCCCACCAATCCTCCCTTGTTCCTCCATAACAATTACAATAAAAGTAAATAGTATATATTTATTGCGGCGTAAAACCCGATCCCACCAATCCTCCCTTATTCCTCCTTAACAATTACAATAAGAGTAAATTGTATATAT